AGGAAGAGAGGGAGGAAGGATGGAAGGGACAAATAGAGAAGAAATGCATGAGGATGATAAAGCTGGGGAGTAATAGAGAGAAAGAAAGTCAAGAAGTTAAATAGAGAAGATATATGGAGAATAGGAAGAGAATAGAGAAAGGTAAGAAATAAAAGAGTGAGAGGCAGTGATAAGAAGAGAATAGGAAGAGAGGGAGGAAGGATGGAAGGGACAGATAGAGAAGAAATGCATGAGGATGATAAAGCTGGGGAGTGAGAGAGAAAAAACATAAAGGGATGGAAGAAGGGAGAGAGTGGGTGAGAGAGGAAAGAGATGAGAGAAAGAAGAGTGAGATAGAGATGAAGTGAGTGTTGGATAAAGAGAACAAGATAGAGTAGATGAGAGAGAGATAATGAGAGAGAGAGAAAAGAGGGAGCAAGAGAATAATGAGAGTGAGATAATAGAGAGAGTAAGCTTGAATGAGAAAGAGGCGAAGAGAGAGAAATAAAAGAGAAGAGGCGTAGAGAGTGAGAGAGAGGGGAGAAAGAATGAGGGAGAGATTAGAAAAATAGATTGAGAGGGAGAGTGAGAGTTACTTAGCATGAGAGAGAGAAATAGAGAGAAAGCTTTATAATAAGAGAGAGACCATGAGGGAGAGAAGGTCGGAGCGGAAGAGAAAGAGGGAGAGAGAGGAGAGAGAGTAAGAGAGAGGAGGAGAGAGAGAGAGAGAGAGAGAGAGAGGTGCTACAAACAACCATCATATTCTAGCTATAACGTTAGTAAGCAGTGGTCACCTGTGGTTACTTAACGATGAGTTTTTCAATTCATTGCAGTCGTATCTGAGATATGATGTTTGCAAGCAGCAGTCGTCGACAGCTACGGAGCTCAGAAATTATCGTTAAGTATCCAATACGACATTTATGTATTACGACCACATTTGGGATGCGTCATTAACAAGCAGAGGCCACTGACAACGGTGAGCAGGGGTGGTTGGTGGTGACCGACGACAATCGACATGTTGCGGTAGACTGTGGTTGGTGATTATGAAAGCTAATAGTTATTGTCAGATGTTTGGTCCATAACATCACTAGAAGTCAACTCGATCTCTCCCCTTCTCAAGTGAAGAAAAGGTGTCTATTTCTAGTATCTATAGAGAAACATCTTCATTATTTGTCGAATAACTCTCATAATCACCTGATTCGATGACCCATATTAACCTCTTTGATCAGATAATTTTTTTAATGATTTGAAATTCTTAATGACCTCATAACTAAGCAAACTTAGACTTCTTGGAATCCTCTTGTCAAGAAGCTTGATTTGAATATAAATATGTCAAATTTGGAGTTTATTTAATTATACAATTGATGACCCAAAACTTTCAAAAGTGATTTAATGACTTGATCCGAGTTTTATTGGATTAGATATAACCATCTTTGGTATCATTAGGTTCTCTTGTCGATATAGTTTTGAGCAAGACTCAACAAAAAAACAATAAAATCCCTAAAACGAATAACAAAAAATAAAAAAAATAAAAATAAAAGAAAGCAAAATTAAAAAAATCTAAAATGCAAATCATGAATTGGTTCTAAAAACCATATATTGGTTATAACTTATGTTACATCTAAATAGGGTTGTGAATGAGCTAAAGACGATCCATGAGAACATGATAGGTGGCTCGAGAGATGAGCTTGATGAAGTCAAACTCTAAACAACCCCTTGGCTCTTTAGTTCGTTAGCCAACTCATTTAAGAAAATATTAATATAAAATATTCTCAAAATATATTAAAATTCATGACTTTATTTTTAAATCTTAAAAATGTAAAAAAAAAGATATTTTCCATTTTATTATAGTAATTTCTTATTATTTATCCAGTAGTTGTTTATTATATTCATCATTTTATTATATAATTAGCTTAAACTAATATTATTTTTTATATTTTATAGTAGACAAGTTGGCTTGTGAGCCAGCTCGAAATTTTTAGACTTAAGCTCGAGCTCAACCTTGATTAGTTAATTAAAACTCAAGCTCAAGTAGAAGGCGACTTGAGCTTGACTCAGCTTATTATACCCTTATATCCAACAAATTTCAAGAAGGCAAGAAACAGTTCATTGCAACAACCAAAAAGGGTGCAATGAGGCGGGTTGAGCTAAATCACTGAAACAACAAAGTAAATTATTACTGATACCACAAAGAAATGATAAGAATCGGTTTCTTGATAATCGATTATGCGAGGATATCGACATCTCCAACTGCTTAGTAGGGGAGAATAGAGGAGAAACTCATATTAGATTCATAGAAAGAAATCGCAATTCGAGGATGCTGACAACTCCAAATATCTAGGGGTGAGAGAGAGAGAGAGAAATTACCACATCCTTATTTTTCAATTCATTTTATTGTCTCCAATATGAGCTATTTATAAAGGTACAATACTACTAATCATTATTAGCAAACTAATTAAGTATGTTTATTAAACTAAGACAATGACTAATCAGAATATTATACCTCATCATTATCAACTCCTTTAAAATGACATTGCCCTCAAGGTCAGCCAAGTGAGAGCCAACGACATAAAAGGTGATAATGGTTTGTGAATTCGAGCTATCAAAATGTCAAATAAAGTTCATTATGAATTATGAACAAAGATGCAACCTCATTTTCCGGTTGAGAAAACAACATTTTCGACAGAGACAAAGCAACCCCAAAAAATTTGCGGGGAATCCATAATAATTTGAGGATGCCAAAAACTCCAATAAGAACAATTTGCCCATTCCTTTCAACATTTCTCCAATAAGAACTGTTTATAGAAGTGCAATGCTACTAAATATTATTAACAAGCTAGTTAATTATAACTATTAAACTAATATAATGACTAATCAGTATTACATCATATCAGAAAACCTCCAACACATGCCACACCGGGATCAATAAATGGAAAAGCAACCATAACATAAAAACGATATAATAATCCCTGCAAAATTAAAGTTATATGAATATCTACAATAAATGTTACAACAATTCAACCATATGAGAGGAGTTGAACGTGAACACCGAATTTAAAAAATGTACGTAAAAAAAATATCTGCATTGATCCTGAGAAAAACTAATGATCCAAAAGAAATGAGAATGATGAATGGGAGAGCCCATTGACAGAATATTGTGAGACTAACTTGTCTGACTAAGTGAAGTTGCCCGAGCCAAAACGATCGAGCCACGAGAAGGAGCCTGTAATTCGAGCTTGAACCATTCAATAAGAAATGAGTCAGAAATGCATCTGAGCCAACCACTACGTAAAAACTGATTTAAGGGAAGATCTAATCCCCCAACATCTCCAATCATTCTGAGGATGTTTAATGGTCCCTCATTAGTCAACAAGATCAACAACCTTACTAAATCAGTTGAACGACTCATGCCGACCAGGTCCAACCAATTGAGCTAACTCTTCAGAACAAGCTTAGCCGACCCAACTGATATTGGCGTCAAAAAGTTAATTAAGCTTAGCCGGCTAAGACAGAGAGCAGTCAAATGACGAACTCATACATGTAAAACACCAGAAATACTCTAGTATGAATCCTATTAAAGCAAGTGCAAAAATATAACATCTTCTTGTTGTACCATCTCTCTTATAAATAGGGAGATCATTTCATGAATAAAACACGACATATTACTGTTCACTCTTTTCTCTATCTCACACACTCTCTCCTTACACTTTCTTGCTTGGGCGCAATTCATGGACAAATCTAAATTCAATATATTAAAATATGTGTTGGGCATGGATCATGCCACAAACAAGAAGAGAAATAACTCAATGAGAAGAAACACACAACATAGACGCCTCCAACACGAAGTGCACTAGAGAGTTTGTAATTCAACAAATTCAAAAATTGAAGGATCAAATATTGGAGGCCATTCCTGCATAAAAGGAAAGAACTTAAGAGAGAAGTCTCTCTCTCTCTTGGAGAAACCTAATAATTCAAAAAGTCTATGATTAGTTAGATATTCTGGCTTACCGCAAGCTCGAGTTCAATAAATAATCACTAAAAAACTCTTTAAGGTCTTACACCCATCTCACTCCCTTCTACGTTTTCTCTACAAAAACAAGATCTTTATTGATTTGTATGTGCTCAAGAACAATAAGAAAAACTACATCATAAATAGATTCAACAATTAAGACGCTAAATATAACTCCATCACAGAGAATCATACTTCATGCATCAATATTAAAATTATTATAACTCTTTTTCCTGCTCTTAAGCTAAAGTAGCGGCCTCAAATACCAAAAATTTTTACTAAGAATAAAATATAAGCGGATTTAATAGCATTGGAGGTATTACAATACAAAAACTATCAAACTTGCAGGTTATCATGGCTCCTCAAATAGAAAGCCAATGTGCACATAACCCCTTCTTAAAAACAGCATAAAGAAAAAGCTAAAGCGTTGGAAGGACAGCAGATAAGCAGAACTAAATCAAGAGGGAGGGAAGGAAACTGTAAGAAAAGTTACAAGTGATCGCCTAAACCCTAATCGTCAGAGAGAGAGAGAGAGAGAGAGGAGAGAGAATGCGGCGGCGCAAGTCCTTCTTTTTCTTAACGTCGTTTCTCCTCCTCCTCCCGCCTTCCTTCTCTGCGGCGACGGCCTCATCTCTCGATTCCGACGTCAGAGCTCTCCTCGCATTCCGCTTTGCCTCTGATCCCGCCGGCCACCTCTCCTCCTGGAATCTTTCCTCCTCCGCCGCCGACCCCTGTTCTTCCTGGCTTGGTCTCTCCTGCTCCTCTGGCCGCATCACTCGCTTAGTTCTCGAGAACCTATCCCTCGCCGCCACCTCTCATTCTTTCTTCCCGTCCATCCTCCTCCTCGACCAGCTCCGCGTCCTCAGCCTCAAATCAAACTCTTTCTCTGGCCCCATTCCCCCAGACATATCCACCCTCAGAGCTCTCAAGCTTCTTTTCCTTTCTCACAACTCCTTCTCCGGCCCAATTCCCCCCTCTTTTTCCTCCCTCCACCGCCTCAACCGTCTCGACCTCTCCTTCAACAATCTCTCCGGCCCTATTCCGAACTCACTTAACAGTCTTTCCCATCTCCTCACCCTCCGCCTCCAATGCAACTCCCTTTCGGGCTCCATTTCTGGTATCTCCTTCCATGCTCTCAAAGATCTCAACTTTTCCTCCAACCATCTCACCGGCGCCATTCCCCCCTCTCTTTCCTTCTTTCCCGCCGAAGCCTTCGTCGGAAATCTCGCCCTCTGCGGCGCTCCCCTCCCCAGCTGCAGCAATGTCGTCAGCGAGCCCAACCATCCTAACATCACCTCCCCTGCCACAATTGTCTCGTCCCCAACCTCCAAACCAGAGGCATCACCACCCTTTGGAAACCTGCACAACACCAACGCCGCCGCCAGCCGTACCGGCATTAGCCGTGCCGCCGTTGTAGCCATCGTAGTTGGCGACTTCGTCGCGCTCATCCTCGTTTCCTTCCTCCTGTTCTGCTATTTCTGGCGCAAGTTCTCTGCTAAGAACCCTTCCCGACTACACGAAGGAGAAAAGATTGTCTACTCCTCGAGCCCATATGCTGCCGCCGGTGCAACAGCGGCAGGGGGCGGCGGGTTGCGGGGCGCGGTTGTGGGGGAAAGATGGTGTTTTTTGACGAGACGAAGAAGTTCGAGCTGGAGGACTTACTGCGAGCTTCTGCTGAAATGCTCGGCAAAGGTGGATATGGAACAACCTACAAAGCTGTACTCGATGATGGCGGCATCGTTGCCGTGAAACGACTCCGTGATGTTCAGCTCGCCGGAAAACGAGATTTTGAACAGCAGATGGAGCTCCTCGGTCGTCTCCGCCACCCGAACCTCGTAACTCTGAAGGCCTACTACTTCGCCCGCGAGGAGAAGCTTCTCGTTTACGATTTCATGGCCGGCGGCAGTCTCCACTCCCTCCTCCACGGTAAAGCCCCTTTTTTGTGCCGCCTCAATTGCTGCAACAGCTGAATATTTACAAAAGCTTGCTGCTTTCTTCGACAGGGAACAGAGGGCCAGGGAGGACGCCGTTAGACTGGGCGGCTAGGATGCGGATAGCGGCGGCGGCGGCGCGAGGCGCGAGGGCTTTTGTTCGTTCACCATTATTCCCGTTCGCCGAAGCTCGCTCACGGTAATGTAAAGTCGACCAACATCCTCCTCGACAAGTCCGGCGCCGCTCGGCTCGCCGACGTTGGCCTCGCATTTCTCGGCAAAGCGGCGGAGAGAAGGTTCTGTGGATACCGACCACCGGAGGCCGTGCATGACGGGCGGCGGCCATTGTTATCGCAACGAGCAGACGTGTATGCATTCGGCGTCGTTCTTCTTGAGATTCTTACTGGAAGGGGGGGGGGTGATATTAGCGGCGTTGCGGCCGCCGGAGTGGGTTTGCCGCGGTGGGTTCAGTCGGTTGTAAGGGAAGAGTGGACGGCGGAGGTCTTCGACCTTGAGCTCATGAGGTATAGGGGAATAGAGGAGGAGATGGTGGCGATGCTGCAAATCGCTTTGTCCTGCACGGTGGTCTCGCCGGATCAACGTCCCAAGATCAGCCACGTGGTCAGGATGATCGAGGAGGTACACGGCAGTGAGGTCGTGGCGTCGCCGTCTCTGGAGTGCTCTGAATCCGACTCAGCCTCCGACGATGCCGCGGCCGGCGGGGGCGGGGGCGCCACCGGGCATTAACTCGCTTGTTTACTCTACTTGGAAGTTAGAATATTTAATCAATCTTTTTTAGCCGTTGATTTTGTTTAGATGGCCGTACAGATGGAGAGATCTGAGCCGTTCATCATGTAGTCGACCGTTGGAATCTAATTATGAGGCTTAAATGTTGTACAGTTTCAGAATAGCATTTTGTCAGGTGGTGGCCATAAAGCTTGATGCAATAGTATTAGAAAAATAGTACAATTATTGAAATAAGTTTCTTTTGGGGCTTTTACAAACATACCACCAAAGTCATATGAGTTTTACATATCTAACATTTATATTATACCAGCCAATATTTCATATCATTTTAAGAAAAAACATCATTTTCATGCATGAATAAAGTGGTATGTTGGGAAAAAATTAAATTTAGGGATTGATAAGCAAGAATAGGAATTGAGTGATATGTATGTAAATATTTCATTTATTTTTTACTTATTTAATATCTAAAATTTACTGCTTGTTAATGTAACACAATAAAAAAAAAAGGGAAATTTACATAGATGGTACACTATTATTGGGTGTTTCTCGAGCTATTTTAGTAAAAATTTTTCTGTGCGGACTCTTGACGTAGCTCTACGTGCGGCGCATGATATTCTTGAGTTATTTTCAGGTTATTTTCAATAATCTCAAAATAACCCGCGGTCATTATTTTTGGGTTATGCGGTCATTATTTTTGGGTTATTTCTGGATTATTTCGGGATTATTGAAAATAACCCAGAAATAACCTGAAAATAACTCAGGAAAAAATTGCACCGCACGTATAGGTACGTCAGGTGTCCGAACAGAAAATGCGCGCCTTTTTTAGTGTTTTTTTTTCACACAAATTAAATGTTACATTAGGGTTGAGAGAGATTTCATGACCCACTCTTTTTCACATGCTTAGAGTTCTCTTATTATAGAAATAAAAAAAGATGGAAAAATATTATTACAAAAATGCTCTTACTTTAAGGTGGGCAGCGTTGGGTATTTTGTCCTTCTGTCGCATAGACTTGAAGTCATTGAGCTTGTTTTTCTGTGAGATCTGTCGATGTAGGGTGACCAGCCAATGGCGGTAGCTCGGTTGGGGGCGGCCGACCCAACGTCTTCTTTGTGGTCAACCCATGGTGGCCGACAAAAGGTTCTCCATGTGGTCGGCTCACGGTGGTCGGTTGATTGATGGCCGACCGACTGCATGGCCGACCATGGTAGTCGATTGACTGCCCTCATGTGGCCGACCCTTGGTGTTCTGTCTGCTGGAAGAGGGTGGCCGACCTAATGAGTGCACAACTGCTGATGCCACTCCAACGATGGCGTTTTCTTTTGTTCGGTGAGGTGGCATTTTCCAAATATACATAAAGTTCTCAAAAGTTTTTTACTTCTTAGAGATGAAACAGTAATAAAAATAAAAATCTCATAAGTATAGAGACTACAATTTCACGAATCTCTAGACGAACTTAGCATTTGGTGAGACTATTTTTGAGAATATTACTGGTTAAGTTTCCGAAAAATGCCATCTCACCGAGATGAAGGAAGCGCCGTCACCGGAGTTGCGCAAGCAGCCGTGCACTCATTGGGCCAACCACCTTGGTCAGCCACCCTCTTCTAACCGACCGGCCACTAAGGGCTGGCCACTTGAAGGCAGTTAGCTGACCATACCCAATCGGTCAACCACCAAGGGCATGCCACATGAATGCAGTCGATCGGTCACCCTAGCCAACCATCACCAACTGATCCACCATCACTAGCCAACCGACCGATCATAGGGTCAGTCACATAGAGAACAGTCAGGCGACCACCTTGGGCTGCCATCCTTAGTCGACCGACCATTAAGAAGGCGCTCGACCAGTCATCTCGATCAACCATCCCCAGCTGGCCATCCACCCTTGATTAGTCACCTGATGTTGATTTCCCGTGAAAGGGTAAGCTCCAGGACTTCAGATCTGGGTGATGAAAAGACGAAAATACCCCGTACTACCCTCTTTAAAGTAAGGGCATTCTTATAATAATACTTTTCCCTCCATTTTTCTTCTTTTGTAAATAGAGGACTATATGCATGTGTAAAAGGGAGGCCCCTGAAATCTTACTCTCAACTCCCATGTAGGAAGCACACTCCCCCTTCTTATCTTACTTGCAATCTTTAATTTGTGTGTAATAAAAGGGGCCAAAGAGCTAGAGGATATCCCTTTTTGCCCCCCATGGAGCAAATCTCTCTCTTTCTCTCCCTCTCCTTAGCATTCTCTTCGATTTCATACTCTATACCTTGGGCACAGTTCACACGACAAATATGACTTCAACACATAAGTTGCACACAATTCCTATGTAAAAAAAAAAAAAAAAGAAAGAAGGGGAAAATTTACATGCCTAGTTATGTATTTGCATCTCACATCTAAATCTTTATACATATACATACATAGCACTTTGGTGTTTTAAAATCATACATGAAAATGTGTATTTGATTTATAAGAGGTTGTGACAATGCAACTTCCTCTGTGATATTAAATATCTGAGTATTGTGCGTAAATATGAAAATTAAAATGTGAGATAGGTAAATATATATGAATTTTGTGCTATGTATGCCATGTGTTTCATCATTTACATGATTTTTTCATTGCCCTTCCTAGTAAGATTCCATGATAATTTAATATTTAATATATAAGAGTTATGCATTTAAATTCTGTTATTTTTTCCATGTAATATGGCTAATATTAAAGGTCTGAGTGACATTCATGAAAAGATGAGTGCTTGTCTTAGATATGTAAATACATAAGAATTGAGTGATATGTATGTAAATGGCCCATTATTTTATTTTGATAAAAAGACTAATCTCATATAAATATTATATTTTGTTACTATTTTTTAACTATATTAATTATAGTTAATCAGATTTTAAAAGCGATTAAAACTTTCATTATGTAATTTGCATTTGTATTTTATTTTAGTTACATTTAATTTTTGTTATGCTTTAAAAAATCTTGCAATTAAAGTAGCTGATTATTATTGTATAAATGAACAATTCCATTAGTTTGAGTAACCCTCTAATTTCTTTCTATTAAACAATAGAGGGGCATTTATATATATACCACATGATATATATATA